GGCCGTTTCCCTGCGGCGTCGCGGCGAGGTGCCCACCGAGACCCCAGCAAATTCCAGCTACACCAGATCCCCTTTGAAGCGCGGCGCTGGGGCACGGAAATCAGAGGCGTACAGCAGCGTCCCAAATGCCACAGCCAGCAACACCTCCGAGCTCACTTTTCCTCTTAAGGGGAAGGCGACGGCCTCCCGCTTCCACAAAGGAGAGGGCTGCTCCAGCTCCGGTGGGGAGGGAGCTACAGCCGGCAGCACGATTGCCGGCAGGTCTAAGAGGAGCCGTTTTTAACCAACATGGTACCGTGCGACCGTGAGATTTCAGGGGCACAAGGGCTCTATGCCGGCCTAGGGAAGCCTGATCCTCCCAGCCAAACGTTACCATCCGCTGTCAGCCAGGGATCACGCCTTCCCCGGCGCCCAAAACCTGTGCCAGGCACCCCGGATCTCCACGCGCCTTCGTCACCAAGCAGGCAACGTACCCAGCGATGCCTCCCTCCTCCATCAGCCTCAGCACCTCCTCGGGCCAGGAGTGCCGGCACATCTGCCGAGCGCTGACCTATTTTCCGAACCCCAGAAGAATCCAGCCTCCCTGCCAGCCTCCTGCCCGTGCTCGCCCAGCACCACGGGGTTTCTCCTCCAAGAGCTGGGATCTGCGAGCGTTTTTAGCCCAGAAAGGGCCAACTCCCCTCGTTCCGCTCATGTTCAGCGGGATGCCGGGTTTGTGAACTGCTCTTGGACCAGAAACACAGCACCCAAAACTCACACCTGGGACTGGCTTTAGGTGCAGCTTAGTGAAACAGAATTTGGATGGTAGTTATCCTCATTAGGCTTCTGCTAAGGAATATTTCTGCCCAGATTTCACACACGCATCCCCTTTCCTGCCAGTAGGAGTTTAGCTCAAAAGCTGATGGAAATGCTACTGAAGAACCGAGCCGGCAGCTCCAACAGCTTGGCTTTGGGTCACAGACCACACCCCCGAATCCCTAAGGTGATGAACGAGCTGTAAAGCACCTACTCCTACTTGCCAGCTTCCAGCATCCCAAGTTTGGGCAGCGGAAGCAGTGGGATTCCAGGTTTGGGCAGCGAAAGTGGTGGGATCCCTACGTAAGGGTTTTTGGGCAGCCAGCGAGGAGAATGAAAGGAGTCGGGCACGTCCCAAAGTGCCACTCAAGGCTGGCACATCGACCCGCAGAGCAAGGGGTAGCAGATCAAGCAACGCTCCATCTGCAAGCTGACTGAAAAAAAAAATAAGCTTTGCCTGACTAATTCTAGGGAGACTCAGAGGGGAAATCCCATGGAAATGCCCGAGCAGTGGGAAGAGCCAGCACAGGGGATTTCTCCAGTCAGAAGAGCCTGGGCGCGTGCGCCTCCTCCAGCCTTGCCGGGAGCAGGGGAAGCAGCCTGCCCACCCCAACCCAGGCTGTACGGACCACCCTGCTTCCCCCCCTACGGATTTAGTGGAACTTGAGAAAATCGTGGAAAAGCACAGGCTGACACACGTGGTGTCGAGCGACTCACAGCCCGCAGCCTGCCGCGGGTTGAAGACGCTCCCGCTGATTCAGGAACCGAGAACCCCGCACACCTTGCTGACTCTGCCTGTCACCCACACCACCCCAGCCCCTTTCGCAACCTCCTTCACCACCACAACTTCCTTCACACGCTGAGGTTGCAATGCAGGTTCCCCTCCCTGTACCCCCGTGTTTACAGAGCCAGCTCTTTCCCATGCTTCCACGCCACCTTGCAAACACAAGCTTGCAGAAAACACAGCTTTGTGTGCCTTCCCTTCTTTTTTCACCCTTAAAAAGAAGGGCTGGAGCACCTCTCCCATGATGAAAGGCTGGGAGAGTTGGGTTTGTTCAGCCTGGAGAAGGGAAGGCTCCGGGGAGACCTTATAGCACCTTCCAGTACCTGAAGGGGCTACAAGGAAGCTGGGGGGGACTTTTTCCAAGGGCCTGTAGTGACAGGACAAGGGGTAATGGGTACAAATTGAAAGTGGGGAGGTTTAGATTAGATATCAGGAAGGAATTCTTCATGGAGAGGGGGGTGAGGCACTGGGACAGGTTGCCCAGAGAAGCTGTGGATGCCCCCTCCCTGGAAGTGTCCAAGGCCAGGCTGGAGGAGGCTTGGAGCAACCTGCTCTAGTGGAAGGTGTCCCTGCCCATGGCAGGGGGGTTGGAACTGGATGGTCTTTAAGGTCCCTTCCAACCCAAACCATCCCGTGGGTCTATGAACTCGAAAGGGCATCGCCCTCCCGATGCTTTCCTGTGATTCCCGTGGTTTCCCAGCCGGAGTTCGCAGCGAGCTCGTTCAGTCTGTGCTACAGACTGCGGGTCTGCCTGAGCCAGAGATCGATGAAGGTGACGCACAGCGCTCCCTGTGCCGGGGGGTGCTCTGTTACCTCGTTCTGCTTTGCTAAACCTGCCAGGACCCAGTGAGACATGAGGGGAGAGAGGAGGCAGAGCTCCACGTTTCTTAAATAGAGATTTCACCGCATCTTCACCCATTTTCTTCCTGCCGCAGGAAGACTTGGTTATAGGTGCTTAATTCTCCGAGCTGCCAGCCTGCAAATCCTCGTTTGCATCTTCAGGCTGCCACGGGCGCTTGTGATCATGTTTTTTGAAATCGCTGCGAATATCGAGCCCTCCCCAGGCATCAAACCTGCCTCTTGCTGCCCCGGCGTCTCCTCTCGCTGCCCAGGGCTGGCTTTTGTTTGCTGCTCTGCTCCGGGCACGATGGTGACAGCCCCTCCCTCCCCTAGCTCAGCCTGGGGACAGCTCTTCATAATAAACGCTTTGTATGGAGCTTTCGGGGCGGTTTTGGCCTTGAAAGCATTCTTTCCAGCGCTAAAAGGACACGGGACTGAATGGTCAGGAGAATACCACTCCAGGGTTCATGCGAGCGCATGGAGGAGGGGAGCTCCGCTCTCTCCAAGGGAAAGCTGCCCGCTCCAGAGGGGAAAGCGGCCCGCTCCAGAGCACCCCCCTCCCGCCGTCAGGGTGTTGGAGCGCTCTGAGCCAGGTGGGACGACACCGAGGCCGGCAGGTTTTCTGGTGGGGCTCTTGCACATGCAGGTGGTGTGCCCAGCCCGGCACAGGATGCCCTCCCTGGGAAGGCTCGCTCGGACAAACAGGAGCTGTGCTGCAGGCTTTCAGTCAGCTTTTGTTTAGAATCCCAGGATGGTTTGGGTGGGAAGGGACCTTAAAGACCACCCAGTTCCAACCCCCTGCCATGGGCAGGGACACCTTCCACTAGACCC